GAGAAATCGCGTGTCCGCGAAAAGAAAGAGCGAAAAATCGGCGAAAATGAGTATCTTAGATAAGAGAAGCAGCTTGTGGAGGCGGATTTTGTGCTTAATTATCGTCAGCGCATGAAAGCAAGAAGGTAAAAGCGGAGAGGATGAAAAAATAAATGAGCATCGCAGATATGTAGGCCGCACCGCAAATTAAATTAGGCAAATAAATAACGATTAGAGTCGGACAACTCTCTTATTATTCGCAATCGAGCACGGCTCAATGGAAAACCTGTGTTTATGAGCGCTTTGAATTATGTTTGCGCTTTTACTGCCTTCCCGTCCAACAATACTTTACAATGTGTTAATTTCAAGCCAGGGGAAATGGTGGTTTTCGTTTAGCAATTAAGTGGTTATTCTTATCAAGTCATATTTCATAATTGTATTTATTTACTATAATGAAGTTTAGAAGTTTTTAGTTTTGAACTCTCAATTCGAGTACACCTTAACATGGTGCGTGTCTCACGGGTAAAATTTTCCACTTAATTAATTTAAAAATTGACGATATTTAAAACCGATAAAATTCAAATGGTTCGTTTTGTACTGCATTTATAAGGTTATAATTATATTATACATATAATTATTTGTCTCAAATAATTTATTGTCTAATGAAGTAAAAATATTTATTTTCGCTGACAGTGAGATCAACTCTGCTAAAATATTATTTTATTTTTCAGTGCAAAAAAGGTTTTTTTTTTCCTTTTTTTCCATTCAAATTAAAAAATATGCAGCGAAACAATAAATCTTCAGGCACTTCTTGCTTTGTGCAAAATGCTCTAGATACAGCTCTTACCGCTAATTGAATGCGTGGGCTCCTTGATCTTAAGTGAAATACTGCCCAGGACTAAGAGCAAACTAATATTTATGATGTCGGTCGCGGTCACCAGACAACTTCACGGGGTGCTTTCATGCCGCCTTATTGTATGTATTGTAATATGCTCTCAATGCTGCGGAGACAAGGTGATGAATGTTGTGCTCTTAAGAGCGGCGCGCTTATTATTGCGCGCATTTTTGATACCACTCGCCACATTAAAAGGATGAAAAATGCCGAGGTGTCACTTTGGGAACGCAGCAGTTTTGTTTCAGAGCCAGCGAAGAATTATTTTCAGGAGGTTTCGCGACACGGAATGCGTCCCACTAACGAGGTCCAAATTTTTCAGAGGTCAGATCTCGCTTCTTTTCACATTTGTTGAATTGGCAAATTAACTAGAAAGAAATCCATCTAAACCTGACTTTGATTTTTTGCAATGAAAAAAAAGTTCTTTACTAAACATTTGAATACATAAGGGAAACTAGTTATTAATTAATTATTTAGTTAAATTCATTTAGTAAAGCTTGAAAAAAAACAGGCAGAATCTAAAATTTAATTAAAAAAAATAATTATCACCTTAAAATTCACTTTACTCAATTTTTAACTAGTAAAAAAACATTAATATTAACCATTTTTACCGACAATTTATCAATTTTCATAATTTATCATTTTTAAGCAAATGTATCACTGCGTTGATAAATTTATTTTATCCGATATTATACTTTAAAAAAACCTGTATAATAAATATATGGAGTAAAGTTGTATTTATCAAATTAAATTTGATTATTAGAAAATGCTATAAAAAGACACTTTATTGATATTCATGTTTAAAATTTAACTCCATGAATCTGTATCGATCAAAACACTGTGCTGTTCTAAAAGCGTCATGTCCCGTGAACGAGCTGGAAGAGCTCAAGTTTTCTAGCTCAAAATTGCAGGCAGCGCAAACGACCCAAGCGATCCATTATCACCTGTTTTGACCGCTTTTCCTTTAATAATGTTTTCACAATTTGCACGCAAGCACATGTGCCATGGCTTGCCAAAAATGATGGCGCGCCTGCTGGATTCAGGTGATGGAGGGTATAATTTGATTGACCTAAAAATTCAACGAGGTGATTTTGATGAATTTTACTCACCGATTATTACTGATATTAAACACTTAAAAATCTACTTCTTAAACATAAATGAAAGCTTTAAAATGTGCAAATCATTTGGAATTTGAAAAAAAAAATTATAAAACAATGATCTTTTTCTTGCTGAATTTTGAAAATTATATATACACGATCTTCTTTCAGATTTTCAAATGGGACAATATGAATTCGTTTTAAAGTGTGATCTCGATTTGAATACAATCAAAAGGCGTGAAGCTGTGAAGATTTTTGTCGGTTTTCACTCGATAGAGTTGAGGTTTTAAGGAGAGGGTTAAGATGATGCTAATGTGCGGCTGCTAATCAGTGAGGTCCGAGTCGTTCCGCATGGCCGATCATGATGATTATGAGGCTTGCCGGTGTACAGTCTGCAGCTTGCTGATCTCTCGAAACCACACTCTGTTGATTTACAGCTCGCAAACAAAACGAGATTCCTTCGTCCACTCTCAAGCCGCCCATAAAAATGCTTTGACTATCAGCAGCAAACGGCCGAGAGCTAATTATTATTTAAAGCGACCGCCACTTAATTGTGCGACTTGGCAAAAGCAGCACCGACAGACGCTTTTATTAATATCGCCCGTGATTGATCTCTTAATATAAATAATAGCACTCGCTGCTCGCTCTTCAAGTGCCCGGCAGCGAATGCGAATAATTATTATTCTTTTTCTCTCTCTTGTAATCGGAGAACGCAGCAGGCGCGGCGTCAGAGCTCACAATTAGCAAGGGGCCGCTGCACTTAAATTGTGCTTTAATGACTTTCAGCGTTTTTGCCCGGGGTCAAGGTCGGAGCCTCGCGTCTAACCACTCTGATGTTTGAGGTTCAATAACAAATAAATTCCTCTTTGAAAATTAAAACTTTCCAAAATTATTGATTAAATAATATTTGATAAAAATTTTCTTGCTGAAAATAATTTGCAGGATAAATAAACAGCATCATTTGAAAAATATTTGGATAGATAGAGCATTTTTCTATTATTGAATATTTCATTTAAAGAGAACTAACCAAGCTAAATTATTAAAGATACCTTTTTATTATGCAACCCGCATACAGACACGTCGTGCAGGATGCATACACACCAGCTTAAAACTTGCCAAACGACGCTATAAATTAATTTCATTATTTACTAGCATTTTCCTTCACGCAAGATAACATCTTGTTTCAATGGTCTGATAACCAATAACTTCAAAAAATTATTTATCACACAGACTTTTAAATGACCAAAAATAAAATCTATTATGAGAATTGTGAAATAAATTATTATTATTTTTTTTTCTTTTTTTTCAATAAATCGAATAAATCCATATTTTTATTCTCATCCATTTCCATTAAAGATTGAAAGAATTTTTTTATAATTTAAACCGCATATGGATTTTTTTTGCTGATCGCATTGATATAGACTAAATTTTTATAAAATAAAAAGACCCGGTTACAAGATTTCAATGTATTAATTTATTTTATTTGGAAATACTAGCATACACAATTAAATATTTCTTGATTTATTCTCGTTAATGGTACAAGTTACACACAGTAAGTTGTTGTTTTGTTTTTGTTTTTATTCATTCTATCCATTCATAACTCTCGGAAACTCGAGAGTTCACTCTAGTTAGCATCGTAATCCAGCACATTCTTAACTCATGAGCTCCGAAATGACAACAGCAATCTGCACAATGTTGGAGAAATCAATGATCAATAATTGCTGATCGGCTAGTAGGACGCGACTCGTAAATTTTTCAACAAATGCAACAACAAGAATTAATTATATTCCATCTCATTCAAGACAACTACGGCGGCGCAGCGTGTTTTGTTCATTATAGGAGGATGGTTTGCAACGAGGAAATCGGTGTGCACTGCGAATTGAATGCAAGGTTGTTGAATGCAAGAGTGGACGAATTCTACTAACGACCCAAAAACTGTGAACAACGGGTCTTTAGTGAAATGACAAAGTCAGTGAACGTGGAACATTAGACGAAAGGAAGCTTTGCACTTGTACAGAAATGATTGGTTGGGAGTAGATTTTTATATTTGCTTTTCTTAACACACACACATTCTTCCCAAACTGAAACTTACATTTAAATTCATTCGAGCATTTTCACTAAATTTTGTTTTTAATAATTATATCATTGAACAAATTTGTAGGCCTTCCACTGAATGCGTCTTTACTACGAGGAGAAATCAATGGTCTCAAATTAACTATCAATTAAGTAACCCACAAAATTATAAACGTTCTTAAACTAATACTCATTGCACCTAGCAAAAATATACTCTTGATTACATCTTGCTATCACTCATTCATAAAGAAGAGGTCGTGAGTTCTAACATGTGAGTGTGATTTTAGAAATTATACAAACATTATATTGTGAAATAAATGCATTTACATATTAAAGTTTTATGATAGACATACTTTGTTTCCAAAAAATCAGGTTTTTTTTTTAATTTATGAAATATTTCACTAAAAGTAACTCTGATAAATAGTTGTATTTTTTTGGCTCTGAACACGACATTACTCAGATTTGTTTCAATAACCATTGTTGCAATGAAAACTTGTGCTGATAGAAAAATTCAATTAATAAAATTTCCACAAATGTTAAAACTTAAAAAAGTTCTGCCCTCATCGAATTAGTGTTGTTGTTATTTTACTTCTTAGACAAGCATGCAAAGCTGGGAAGAAACAATCAGGTTTGAAATTTGCAGTTATGTACACCATATAGTAGAGGAATTATGTTAGGCAGCTTTTTTGCAAGATTTCAAATTCCATCTGAAAAATTGTGCTAACTGTAGCAGCTAAAATGACTAATTTTGATTCATGGCATTTCCACTAGTGCAGAAATGTTTAAAAGCCAATAAGAAATTCCGAGTAATATCAAATTTTTGCATTATTTTTCATAATTTTACTTTTCACAAAATACAAGGTACATTTTTCTGCTACTACAGGGCTGGAAATTTTGAATTGTGCTTGACAGACGTCCATACAAGGTCTGCAAGTCCTACGGATTTCCTAGTTATTTAAAAAAAAAAATTATCACAGCTTCTCCTTGGCAAGAGAGGCGTGCATTTTTTCAACCATGGAGACCATTTGATGGCAGAGACAATTCTGGACAATCGTCCCGTCTAGCGGAGCAGAACTCAATGAGAATTGGTCCCATCAAAACTAGAGAAATAAAATATTCGCTCTTGCCAAGGAGAGGAGCCGCGCACTTACTTCAGTTAATTATTTTTCACTTGAACATCAGCATCACATACATAGAGAGTGGGTGTTTCGGCACCATTTCTTTAATTAGATTTTTTTAACTCTTATTCTCTGCGTTTATTTTTTCCTCAATTAAAAACTCTTGCGTTATTTGTTAACTTGCCGTCGCATGCGAGTGAAGGCAAAGGCATGCTGTCCATTCTTGCAGTGATTTTATAACTCGATATGTGAGGAGGGGACGTGGCACTTGTTGGCAGACACCCTTACAGCAGGGCACATCTCCTCTTCGGCTTCACTGGCATGACCGGGCACAGCACTGCGCGGATCGCTTCGTCAAACACCGTCTTCAGTCCCTTCTGTGTCAGGGCGCTGCACTCCAGGTATTTCACTGCACCAATTTCCTTGGCCATCGACAAGGCCTAAAAATAATATTAACTTTAAATTCAAATATATAATTTATTGATTAAGCCCAAAGACATGGTTGCACACATCTTTTAAAAACAATTGTAATACTGATAATTTGAATTCACACCTGCGGGTATGTGATAGGGGCAAGTTTCTTGTCTTTTAACTTCTCGATGGTTTCTTTGTCTTCCCTCAAATCCAGCTTGGTTCCCACAAGAATGATGGGGGTGCTGGGACAGTGATGCCTCACCTCTGGGTACCACTAAAATTAAAGCAGATCAAATTAATCATTTTTTTTTGGCATTTACAAATATTTTCCATTACCTTTGCTCTAACGTTTTCAAAAGACGCTGGGTTCACCAACGAGAAACAAATAAGGAAAACATCCTGCAAACATATAAAAATGATCTCAGTTTATAAAGATGAGCCAAAAACTGAAATACTCACAGTCTGTGGGTAGGAAAGTGGTCGTAGCCTGTCGTAATCTTCTTGACCTGCCGTGTCCCACAATCCAAGATTGATTGGTTTTCCATCCACCATAACATTGGCAGAGTAGTTGTCGAATCTGAAAGAAATATGTTTGTCATGAATATTTTTAACTGTATTCAATGTAACTTTTGAATAGTAAGAAAAAAAGGTAAAGTTGATATTTTTAAGCAAAAGCAAAAAAAAAAATTAATTTAATCAATTTGAGAATTGCATTATGTTAAGAGCCCAGTGAAATATTAAATGCAAATGATTTTACCCTTTTGAATACCCTATCAAGGATTCAAATCCCCTGTAATACGAAAAAAAAAGCTATCAAACTGTTTCGATTTCCCAATTTTCCCATTTAAAGCAAGAAAAATAAAATAAATGAAAAAAAACTACTTACACTGTGGGGATGTATTCTCCTGGAAAGGCATTTGTGGTGTAACTGATGAGAAGGCATGTTTTACCGACGGCACTGAAAAACAAAATAAATTGAATAGCTACATTAACTTTAAATTTTTAAAATATAGTTCTAAATATCTTGGGGGAAGTTAAAGCTAATATTTGCAGCCAAGAGCGCCGTCCCGCGCATTAGAAATGCACCACACTTAAATATAACCCACATAGGGCATCATCTTTACAAACCGAGGGAGAAAAGTCGTCTTTTGTTCAGTTTGAATGGGAGGGACACTGATCCATCAAGAGAGTCCTTCCGTCGCTTGAATGGAACACTCAGTGGGTCTGAAATTAAACGCACCGTGTGTGAGGCTTGGGGTAAGAGACAAAAATCGATTCGGGGGCCAATGACACACGTCAAACGTTTTGCAGTATTTTGGTGTTTATTTTTGGGCAAGACTGCGCTGGCGAGATAAGAGACCCACCTATCTCAACTAGGACGATAAAAAGATAGGTTATCACTAAACACGGCTGTTCTGTCAGTTCTGTGCAAATTTGCCTTTAATTGCTTTCACAGAAGTGCAGAACTTCTTGGAAAATTAAAATTGCAATCTAATTTTAAATTTCTTCATCTATGAACAAATATTATAAAAGAAAAATTGATCAAATTTTTTTAAATCAAGTTTAAAAAAAATAATATAAAGTTTTATTTTATTTTGCACAAAAATAAAATTTAATAGAATCTTCTGCAGTTTTTATAGAAAAAAGATAAGAATACCAGTCTCGTCTGTAAAAGACAGGGCCCATAACTGACACAGCGAAGGGTTAAAATAAATCTCAAATGCCACGCACAGGCAGAAAGTAATAAATTTCAACCGTTCTTTTCTTTTCATCTTCCACGCACGTTTCTTTCTGCGGTGGAAATACATATATTCTGATGTGGATTTCAATAATTCCACTTGGCACTCGGCGTGATATTTTCTGTTCGCCACCCAGTCTGCAAACAAAGATGTCTCATTTCTTCACAAGTAATATTTGCTGTGGAGGAAGTAAAATACGACGCCATCCCCCAGCCCTGCACCCACGTTTGTGAAAGATGATCTCGCGTCGGTCGACGGACCCCTTGCCAGAGGAAAAGATCACGTGCGAGAAATATGCTGATGCATCTCGTCTGCTGCTGGTGGCTCTCAATGTGTAATACCTCGGATATTACTTCCGAGAACGACTTAATTGTCGAACCCCGTTTTGAAAAGAGAGGAAGCTGCTCTGCGGAACGCGCCCGCGCCCACCCGGTGACTCGAAAGCTTTTAAGCATATTGCCGTCGTAAAAGTAAATCGGGGGAATGACTTTGTTTAATTGGAATCTTTTCTTGAGTGTTAACACAAAACCTGAAGTTAAGTACTTTTCCTTTCAGAAGCTTTGTAAAAAAATCAATCGAAAAAAGCTTGTCTTTCTTCTAATTTTCAAACAACACAAAAAATTATTGGAATCAATGATACATAATGAACTTATTATGAATCATGATATAATTTTTACGCCTAAATAGGATGAAAATAAAATTGGAAGAAATGAGAGACGAATTTATGGGATTAATGGGATGCAATAAAAATCAGAAGATGAAAAGCAATTTTCTTTCACTTTTCAGAGTTTAATTTTTTTCTTTTGGAAAAATTAAAAAATTGAAAGGCAAAAATGTAACTTCAACGTTCAGAGAGAAAAATACTGTGTCGCAAAGTTTTAAATCCCGTTCAAACTTTTTACACCAGAAAATAGTGACGGTCGACGCAATCTGCGTCCACTACCAGCTATCGGAGAGCAGAAGTGTGGTTTAGCCATTTCCTGTTCCGAGTCGTGTTCAACAATTTCGTTCCTTCTCCCTCGGTGAACATCCGTGTAACCCACCGGAGCGCAAACAAAAAAAATGTTAATAAAAGTCGCTCGCTCGATCAATTTCGCGCCACCGGTAATTGCTTTCGAGATTGATTTGGCGAGAGCAGGACGGCGAGAGATGAAAATTTATTCATTCCCTCTGACCTCCCATAAAGAGTGGCAGAAATGTAAGCATGTGAACGCAGCTTGTGAGCGGATCAAGGGTTCAATTGAAGCAAGAAGCGACTCCACTTGTATGAAAATGTCGCCAAGGAAGCTTGGAGGGAAATTATTATTGTTCCAGGAATTTGAGCAAAGTTTTTACGGAAGGGGTTTTCCCTGACGCACGGAAGTAAAACTTTGTTATTAATTGTTCTCTACAAATCAAGTCACACAAAATTAGAATTCTGAAAAATGATTAAAAAATTGATTAACCCCACAATAATATTACTTATTATTTTGTTTTTGAAAAAATAAAACATTCTCTTACAACGTCCGAGAATCACTAAGTGGATTTGCAATTATTATTTTTTTCTTTTTTCCTTGCTGACCAACTGAAAAAAATTCATTAGGTGCACTTTCCGCGTCACTTTTGGATGAATCATCCGTTTTGTTCAATTTTCAGGTGAGAACGAAAAGAAAAGCACAGCACCCAACGCTGCGTCCAATTAGTCAGCAGTCCTCAGCGCCGGCTGAGTGTGACGTCAGTTATTTTGGGTGCGTTTATACCACGATGGCCAAGCGCCAGCGGACCCTGTGTGATGTAACGAGCAAGCTAGCCGGTCGGCACCGCCTGACAAAATAAACTCGGGAATTCTCGTTTGAATCAACAACTCACCGACCAGCATTGAAAAGAAACTTTTGACTGACGGTGAAAAATTCAAGTCCGACTTTAAGAGTTTGTTGTTGTAATGGCCAAGAAATTTAAATTATTCATGAAATGCCAAGTTAGCAAACTTCACAATACATAACAAGGGAAATGTTAAAAGAAAATTAAAAATGATAAAATATGACATGTAAATTTATTTTAAAGAGATTAATTGAGTTCCAAACTTATGGATACAAAATATTTAAAAATTTACGAGTCATGAAAAAGCGACAGTAAATATCCTTCAATTTTAGCACTTTCTATTTAATTTTAATGAATTTTTTCTTCCACTTTTTTAATGAGAACTCGAAAGTTTGCAATAATCAGGTTTGTAAAAACTGTGGCCAAATGACAAAAGAGCGGAATGGCATGGTGAATGAGCTTTTTAACGAGAAGCAAATGTTTCAGCGTTGTTCGTCAATCTCATTTGCTGTGGGTTATCCATCTGTCGGGCGGCGACAAGGCTCCCATTTCATTCATTCGCTCGTTTGTCAGAGCGAAACAGAGATTCGTTCGTCGGCGCAGCAAAAATCGTGCTAAAAACGAGCATTTTCCTCCGCCTCGGCGGAGTTAAAGAGCGACGGCTGTATAAAACTTGGTGCATAATTTATACATTCGAATGTGAATAAATCCTTCCCACACGGAGAGCTCTGTGTGTCAGTTCCAAGTATGGCTCCTCAGAATGAAAGACCCACACTCGACGCCAACGCGGCCTCTTCGAGCCCTGATTTCTGCTCGAGCCTTGGTGGTTTTCTCGACTTAATTGTCCCACTTGAGATGCCACGCTCCAGCAGCATTCGTCCGAGATAAGAATGCCAAAAATAATGCAATTCAAGATGCAGCGGCGCGTGAATGGCTGCCTTTGCTTTTATCACAACAAGTGGGGTTTTGTCCGAGGATCTTTCTTTAACTCCTGGCATTTCAAAATTTCAGATTATAATTAAAACTAGTACAGATCATAATTATTTAATTTCTAATATTATTAATATTTATTTCATCCTTAAAACTTCAACGTTTTTCAATTTTGTAGAAAATCTTGCTTGAATGTAGGGTATTTTAGCTTCAAATTCAACGGTGTAAAAAAAATTGGCCCTAAATTATCAAATTAAATAAATTGATGCTACTTCTAAAGATTTCAATTTACTTAATCTTAATTAAACTCTGCCCTTATAATTGTATTCAAAGTACACACAAGATGATGTTAAGGTCCCGACTGAGTGCTCTATTTACTCTGGCCTGCAAACCGTTAATTAATAATGTACCAAAGGCGGCGCTGACCTCTCTCTTCCCTCTCGCTATGTTCGCGCTCACACATTTGTACCGTACAATGCCGCCGCCGCTCTTCGTGCACGATAATTGCGTTTCCAGTCCGTACATACACAACATGAGATAATGGTGTGTGCGGTGGTCAGTTGGAAAATTAACTGTAACATCCTGTGAGTGCAAGTTGAGTTGAGAGCGCAGTGAAAATAACAATTGTTGCCGCTCCACTTCAACCAGACACGTTTCAATTTCTTATCTTGAAATATACAATAACTTCTTCACTTTCCTACTTTTTTATGGAAAAAATTATTAAATTTTTAAAACTTATTTTATTTTAAAATTTTTGTTAATTTGTGTGCGTGGCCAAAGTTAGATGCTCACACAAAGCACGTTCCACCTTCAAATCAATGCAAACATTCCACCAAGGTGCGTGACAAACTATAAAACGCAGCAGATTTTCCCCAATTTTCCCCTAAAAGTTATTTCAGTGACGTGCCCTGTGTGCCGAGATGCGCGATCGCGACCAAATTATCTCCGAAGCAGTAAAAATACTAACGTGCTCGGATATTTTCATATCTGCCGTGCCAGCTGTGCGTGGGTGGTTTGCTCATTCAGAATGTCTATCGCGGTGCACGGCGGCGGCATCAACCCGACATAAAAGAGCCAACCGACGGGTCACGTGACCTCCGACCGCCCCAGAATAGAGAGAAAGAGCAACAAAGGAGGTGGTCCCTCGCCGGTTATTGGGGCTAAAAACGGTGCTTTTCCACGCACGACCCCCGCCTGCACTTTTAGTACACAGACAGTCGGCTCCACTGGGGGCTGTTCACAAAGGAAGGCCTTACAACCAGTTCACTTGCAATAAATTAACATAGATTAATTGAACCCAAGTGACCTGAAATTCTAAATCAAATAATAAATTTTCAGCTCCAACAGAGGACATCAATTTTGCTTTAATTTTATTTAAAATGATAAAAAAATGTACATTTTAAAAAGCGACTAATTTTTTTTGCATTTTCTTTAATTCAATGTAATCAAAAAAGATGAAAAGGCTGCTGAACTATTTTTTTTTTTAATT